AGATGCAAAGGTGGTTTGCAAAGTGTTTCCTTTCACAGAGTCCAGCCTGGTTTTCCACCTTTGTTCTTTTCTACCTCATGCTCAAGTCAGTCTTCCCAAACCCCATCTCCAGGCATCTGTGAAAAGTTGGGGAGGGGGAATTTAGGTAATACAAACATCACCTTTCCAACATTGATTTTTTTCAAGTGAAGGTCAATAAGTGATGTCCATCTTGGGGCAAACTTTATGACCACGTGTCCTTTTCTACTGAGCCCATTGTTGACTGATACGTTGTAACACTAGGAGGAGAGAAAGGCTCTGGGAGAACTGTAAGCCAAGAAATGCAAGTAAGACCAAATGTGAATAGAGGGGCAGAGATACCAGAGGAAAGGGAAATTAGCTAGACAAGCAAAGGAAAGACACAGTCACCTTGGGAAATGCATTCAACATTTCCAAGGTTAAATCCAACCTGTCTTCTGCATTTCCTGCAACTGTCTTTGTGCTCACAATACCCCAGTTATTTTGTATGGTAGGATGAAGGGTCAAGTCCTTCTTAGAATATTTAGCAGCAATTCCAGCATCCTTTGTGCTGTCTCTTCCTATCATGCTTCAAATTGTTCCTTAAAACTGTTCTAGAGATCCAAGGCTATGGGTAATCTTGGATCAGTTTACACCTCTGCTGTTATTCTGAGACCTAGAATCCCTGGTATAAATAGTTGGTACTAGAAAGGCACTGCCAGAAACATGAAATAAATTTCCAATGGAAAATTGGCCCAACAAAGCTAACAGCAGTAGTAAAGGTCATGTTTAGGCTTTAGGCATGTATATTGAGGCAATAATGAATCTTTTCTTGCATAGATCCTGGATGTGGACAAAACTGAACCTACAGATGCCAATTAGTGTAGCATGAAAATGGGTAGTGTGAGGACCAGCTGCACGCCTGTGTATGATGCCAAAAAGCTGGAAGTCTATTATTAAAGCTCTGCACTTCTAACAGAATCATCATCCCTTCTGCTTTAAGAATTGACTTTAAGGCAAGACTGTGTATCTATTGAACTACTCTCAAGTGAGTCAGAAATTTGATTTTCAGTTTTATGCATCCATGACCTTTTATGCATGAGGGTTGACATGTGGCTTGATTATAGAAATTAATATCTGGGTAATTTTATCAAAACACCACAGCCACTTCAGAAGCCAAAGAATCAAAAGAACAACTTCACCTGAGTGTACTAATATGCATCATCATTTAATTCTCCATTATGCCCTCCTTATCTTCTTAGAAACCCATTTCAGTTCCTGGGAGTAATGATGACCCATCCCACCAACTATTCCTTCTTCCATTAGTAATTCCTTATTGAGGAGAGGAATCAATTTGGAATTCTTTGTTCTAGTGATGGTTAGCTTTCCTATCAACACAGACCACAAATATCTCAGAGGCAAGAGGTCAGGAAACCAGTTTTCTATACTAGCAAACTATAAGTCTGAAAATGACTAAGGGCTCCAATAGCACATCCAAACAAAATAAAAATAAAGACAGAGCCCTGTATGCATACTGTTAAGACATCGGTGTAAGCCAATAATAAATTTGGGCTCTTTTAGCCAATCATTTCATTTGGTTAATGTGGGATCCAGTTAAAACATATACTGAAATCAAGTTATGGCCTTGATTTCATGAGTAAAATGTTCTATGATGAATAGGATTGACCATACTTTGGCTTTTTCAACTTAATGCCTGGTACCACACATAACCAAAAACAGGCATTGGAATAGTCTCCAAGGAAGTTCAACCCATTTCAACACATGTGCTTTCAGTGTCCACAGAGGAATATTGTATGCCTGAGTAGTGAGAATAGCCAATAATAATCAAATTGTGACAAGAGATAATATTAGAGCTGTCATCACTAGAATTGTGACATGAGATAGGCTCCAAAAATTGAGCTCAGCATCAACTTTCAGTATACTCAGCACCTATTTTGTGGTTGGTCTATGCATTCCCAACTTTTTGTTATTTAATGTTTTTGCTGTAATGACACAATAATACTTGATTTGAGTTTCCCATGCATAACATTTTTACCATTAAGGTTAGGATATCATTTAGTATTTTCTATAAACAGCATTTCTATGTATTCTCTCTCTCTCATATGTGTACATGTATATATACATATGTTATATATGTACATATTCTATATATACATATATGTTCTCTCTGTATATGCACATATTATTTCATTAAAATATTTGTGGTTAAATAAGATTGGGAAATCCTTGGTCTAAATAAATGGGTTTCCTTGCTGTAGGAATTCTCAGAACATTTAATGTTCCAATGAGTACTTGAATTTCTTTTAAAAAGGAATACACTTTGTAGCATTTTGCAATCTTATTTGACCATAGAACCATTTTCTGAATTTCTAGGTGTAGTAAGATGGAGATAGTTCTCCTTAGAATATATTTTGGGAAACACTGCTTTAAATGTCTGTCCTCAGTGATTTCCAAGTAAAATACCAGCTGGAAGGTGCCCAGGTAGAATATACACTCCTTTGGAGAGCCCCTATGTCTTCTGAGAGACCTGATGTGTGACACATTGAAAGAAGAGGGCTTCTCAGAATGTCTACCTGAGCATATGAGAACTTCTTTATGTCAGTTCATTCAATCAACACTTATAGAGGATCCACAATATATTAGGAAGTGAACATTAACTTAAAAAAGAACTTCATTTACTGTGCTTAATGGAGAGAGAAGTTTTCTAATATAAAATAACATTTGAATCAGACCTTAAAAGATGACCTTCTGGGGTCAGGGTGAGCAGAGGGAGACAATTTAAAGGAAGGGCATTGTTCTGCTCCATTAAGCATCATTCCCCTTTGTTTCTGAACATAAACACTGTATCATATGCTGGTATTTTGTAGTGTGTTCCACAAAGAAATAAGAACTGAGGCTTGAAAGAATTAGAAAGGGTTTGCCATTCTCATGGCCTTTTGAGAAGGAAAAGCCACTCATCATTTGACTACAGATTGCTTACCTATGGGATATGTAGCTTTTCCTATATATGTTATTATGAACAGTCACAGAATATCAGTGAATATAGTATCTTCATGAAATATTGGAAACTCATATAATAGAGGGAAAGTAGGGGGAAAAGAGCTAATTTTAATTAAGGTATGTAAATTACCACAAATCTTTTTCTTGTGGTACTAGGGCTTGAACTCAGGGTCTACACCTTGAGCCACTCCACCAGCCCTTTTTGTGGTGAATTTTTTGAGATAGGGTCTTGTGAACTATTTGCCAGGGCTGGCTTTGAACATTGATTCTCCTGATCTCTGCCTCCTGAGTAACTAAGATTACAGGTGTGAGCCACCAGCACCCAGCCACAAACCTTATTTAATGATGAATTTTATGCAAATGTACATGTACCTTAATTTAGGAACCTCACAGGTTCCTCATAGGAATACTATGAACATGGGTAGGGCAGCTGTGATCAGTCCCTTCGTACAAAGAATGAGTATGAGGTGCCTTGATTTATATTATTTCTTTATTATGTCAAGAGGCTGACAGTAAAGGGAAGCAGACTTAAGCTTAAAGAAAATCTTTCAAAAACCACAGCTGTTGAACAGCAAACTAGGTTGCCTTATAAAATGGCTGTAGAGGACATCCCTGTGTTAGATGGGAGATTAAATGTCATTCTCTACTCTGAGATCCTCTGATTCTTAAATTGCTGGGTTCTATTTCTCCACAGTGAAATTTTGGCCATTACCCCTGTTTCTGAGCAGCTCTTGTTTATTATCAAAACACTGTGCCCCAGAAGAGGCATATTGTTAGAGATGCTTGTTGTAACTTTTCCCATAGTCACAAGCAAATCCATTGTTTTGGTACAAGAAACACAAATTAGATATAAGCAATGCCTCTAGGTATCCCTCAGATCACAAAATGGTGAATAGATAGAAGCCAAAATTTATCATAATTGACAAGTATATAGTATAAGTAAGTTTTCGGTGAAACTTAAAATCTTGATGCATGCATTATATATCAGACATTATGGGAGGGGGCACAGCTCTTCATTTTAAGATCTATCAATCATTTTGGCATATATTAAATCTGCATTTTTATAATCTGTATGCTGTTCAAACACCAAAGGTATTTTAAGAATTACAGACTGATTATTATCCACACTTATCTTCTAGATGGTAGACCAAGATTCTCTTTAGAACTATTAGAACCAGCCTTACAATACTCTTGGAACATTTTTTGTTGGATATTTACAGATCTCTATGCTCAAGAAAACAGTGCATCTGTCTGAGAGAAATGCCTGGCTGCATTCTTTCCCAGATACTAATATAGGTGACACTTCAGTAGTATAACCAATGACATGAAGAACCTGATTTGGAGGGGAACAGATGGGAGCATCGTTCTTGCGCTAATTTTAGGATCCTGAAATAGTCCTTTTCTCATTCAAACCAGTGGAACCAAATTAAGACAGCTATGTCACATGGAAAAGGAAAAGACAAAATAGATTTTAGTGTAATGTAAAAAAAATGAACCAGAAGCTTCAGTGCTTCTACCATATCTAATTCCTTTCACAGCATGCGAAGATAATGTCAACCTCCTTTCACAGAATGAATGCAAAATACCAACATGAGGGTATCTAAGAAAAAAATGAGTGAGCAAACCTCATCTTCAGTCATATGTTTTAAATAACCAAGGTTGTATCATACAAACTAATTTAATCTCATAAGTATGAACTTACAGGATCTGGTTTCTAAAACATTTGTAACATATAAGGAAGCTGAGGCTATAACTGACCATTTTACTTGATAAATTAGAAGCAGACTAAATTTCAAAACTTCAGATTCCTGATCCATTGTGCTCCTGCTGAAAAGACCTTTCCTCCAAATGAGACATATAACATTAGTAAAGGATGATGAGATGTGGAGGAAGAGTTCCTTAACCATGAATAGTAGCTTAGGGATAAAATGGCGATTCAAAGATCTAAAAAAATGAGAAAAGTAATTTGAAAAGGTACTTACTTGTTTTCCATCTAGAGTGTAGAGTTTTTTGACGACTCCAGTCTCTAGTTTGATGGCTTCAGTGATATCGGTAAGGACTTGCTCAAAGGAATGGGCTGTCTTCTTGTTAAGAAGCACACGCACAGCCTTCCGAGGTTTCACCCCACTGCGGATGATGGTCACCAGCTTGGGGCGCACAAAGTCCTTGTTCTCTCTGGCCTGGGCACTGTTGCTGCTAGCCAGGGACTGGGGGGCTTTCATATTGGCAGATGTCTTTACATTGACAGACCAGTTGGGGTTGACATTCTTGGTGTACTCCACCTTTTTAAAGAAGTTGTCTGAGGAACAGACATAGCTTTCCCCTAAGGGAAGAAATAAGTGGTTAGGTGATTAGTTCAATAGCAGATATATAGACTCTAAACTTACATTGACATTGGAATAAACTTTTGGAGAAATGGTTATTACCATAATAACAAACCTTAAGTACAATTCCTAAATGGGCTCTCTGACAACTGACTCAGTCTAATTTTAAAGTAATCAGCCAAATATTCTTCAACTAATGGCATGCCTGGCTGAACGAACCCTATAAAATTATGGGGTAGAAATATGATCACTCTTAAGTTTAACTAGCAAGTCAAGTGGGGCTCTCATGCTGAATATGATTTTATTAGAATTTACACTATTCTAGGAATGGGGGAGGGGAAATAAAGGAGAATGATGGAGGGGGTGAATTTAACTAAGATATATTATAAGCATTTTTTGTAAATGTCACAACATACCCCCAGTACAACAATAATATAATAATAAAAATAAAAAGTAAAAAACATTTAAACATTAATGTTAGTTTCTAGAATGTTTGAAAATTTCTGGGGAATTACTTGATCATTTTAACATGTCTCTAGTTCCTAATGTTCCTGTATTATTTTTGGACTTGTGGTCCCATCTCTTTGTTATAGTATAAACCAAGGAGAACTTTCAAAGTCAGTACATTTTGTTTTATTTTGTTTTGTTTTTATAAAAAGACAATACATTTTTATTTCAAGTTAAAGTGAACCAAGTGGCCTTGCATATTGGGTATAAAATACATATTTGGGAAGAAGCTAGGCCATCCTTTGCACAGATTATTGGGCTAAGTGGTAGACTATTAAAATATGAAATGCCTGTGTGTGTCCCTGTGTATATACTGAATGTGTATATGTGTGTATAAATAAATCTATCCTCTACTACTCACTCTACACCCAGGTGGAGACTAAATAACCGATACACAGAGAAAGAGAGACAGACACGAGAGAGAGAGAGAGAGAGAGAGAGAGAGAGAGAGATCACTCCTTATGCTTGCAAGTCTAGCTCTTGCTTGAAAAACGTGTCCCCCCAAGTCCTACCACCACCTTGCATGTTTCCATCCTCCCTAGTGTTGCACACTAGATCTTTGTACTTGGAGCCATTTTCACCAGTGCCTCCTCCTGGCTTCCTCAAGTAATAAGGTGGAGATGTAAGACTATCAGCTCTTCTTCCTTTGGTCTCACCAGGAGAACCACACAGAGACATTCAGGAACACCAGGCTGATAATTCACGCCCTTTGCAAATATTGATTACTTTGCTGTAACACCAAATCCTTGAGGTCATGTTAATTAATAAATGTCTCAGTTATTACTAAGAGAAGATTCAGTCACAATCTCTAGGGTACCTTTGAAGACATGGAGGGGCATGGTAAGTAGCAGCCAAGGCTGCCCTCAGTTTCATTAGTGTTCTGTCTTGACAGAGGAACCAAGGGATGGTTATTAATTCAGCACAAGCACTGCCCTCCCCTGCTTGGTGCACAATACATGCCTAGGACAGGAGCGTCAAAGACACCAGCTAAGAGAAATCCTAATTTCTCTGGCTTCTTTGATGGCGAATCCAATCCAACACAAGTGACTAGAGGCTAAAGTTTTTATTTGTAATTCAAAAGAGTAAAGGGACCCTTTATATATTCATAGCCAACATCCCCTCACTGTAAGTGTCCTGTTGCCTTAGAATCTTCCAAGCTGCCACTGCCTTCAAGTCAGATATTTTCCATAACTTGTCATGCACTTTAAAACTCCATCAGACAACTGTGGTGTGGAAATGTGCAAGGCTATATATTTATGATTTCACTCATCTACAGTCTCTTCTGGAGAGTCAGCTGTGTACTCTGAACTTCTCTTTTGCTCCCATCTCTTAAACCTCTTAAGCCTCTTAACTATGACTATGAAAATGACCGTGATGGCAAACAACTACAATATCATATGGCACCCAAGAACTTTCCAGAGAGCCCAGCCCTCAGCCAAATCTATGTTGAGCACCTTCTGAAGGTACATTTTAGTCACTCCACTCTCTTCTTTTGGCTTGAATAGAGTAATGGAAAAAGAACAGCTGATATGATGTCAGTAAGAATGGGGTCCTTAACATTTCTAGTTGTGTGCCCTTGTACAAGTTATCTGAGCTCCCTTGTCTGCAAAGTGGAGTGCTAATAATAATTGCCTTCCTTATAGGATGGTTGTGGGGGTGCAAATCTGATGACAGACAGAGCAGAGTCCAGGGACTGGAGCACAGTAACCATCTCATAAATTCTTATTGTTAAGATCCTCTTATGAAGGAATAGAGAAAAGAACAAGAAGGAAAGTGTAAAGAGGTAAGGGAGGAAGTAAAAGTTGAGAGAAAGGAAATGGAGTGAGGAGGAGCCAAAGCTGAAGGAAAGAACAGATAAAGCAGCTATCAGGGACCTGATCCATGATCATTATATAACATGAGCACTGCTGGGGTTCCGTGCCTCAAGGATAAGATTTCCTATTGCTTGGAAAGGAGGCTGCAAGTACTGAAAGTGACAAATGCAGGAACTCTATGGCTAACAGTCAGCAAAGCTGCTGCTGCCAGTGCTGATGCCCACTAAGGGCAGGATATTTATGGTGGTTAAGAATAGTGACTTGAGAGGCAGACAGATCTTGATTCAAAGCCCAAGGAGGCATGGAAGAATTGTGTGACCTCAGGCAAATCACCTAATCTCTCAGAATCTCAGCCTTTTCATCCATAAATTGAAAGTATTTTACTAGGTGGTAGCTGAGTTACTTATAGGCCTAAAGGTCTATAAGAAGGAATTTCCTTCTCTTTGCCATATCAAACAGGTTTGAGGAAATAAAGCAGTTATAAGAATTAAATGTTAAAGAAGTAAGTGCCTACCACAAAAGACCCTCCACTTCTACTACTCAAAGACATCAAATATGCTGCTTTGCTAGACTAAGGCTTCCTTGTTCTGGGTTTGCAAATGTTTGCAGTTGTCTACTGCTAGAGTGTGGTGCTTCCTGCATGTCCAGCTGCCTGGCACTTAGAGCTGGATGAGGTAGGTTGCACCTTTACACAGCTGGATTCCTATCCTGCCACAGCTTCCAAGGGCCATTTCCCACCCACTGGGAACCTAGAAGGAAAGCTGTTTTCAGAGCCAAGCAAGGTGACAATTTGCTGGAATTGACAACCTGCTTAAGGGTGAGCAGTTAAGGAAATGAAGTCATGGAAGTACAACTAAAGGGGCAGAAATAGAACACGATGTGGGTTCAAAATGATCTAATGCCTAATTCCCTTCACTTTTAGTTGGGCTTCAATTTCAAAAAGCATTTCATTTTTTTTGTGGACTAGGGTTGAACTCAAGGCCTCATGCTTGCTAGGCAAGCACTCTACCTTTTGAGCCACTCCACCAACCCAAGCGTTATATGTATTTATATCTTCTCAATGCAAAACCACTTTTACCTTGGCTTTCCCTTTTTCTTCAAGGCTTCCTAACTTAAGAAAGAAAATATTAAATGGTACTTTATTGTATTATTACATTAAAATACTAAATGATGTTTTATTGAATCATCATACCTATTAATAATGCATCCCTTCCAAAATTCTTGCTTTTGGAAATGTGCTTGCTTTAGTAGATTGAGAAAATAAATTTGTGAAAAAGTGGTTTCATCTCATTGAGATGAGCTATGGCAAAGGAACTGGATCATAGTGAGTATCACTATACAGCTCAGATTTTTCTAAGGCTGTTCCAGTTGTAAATATTCTATCCCATGGTCTGCATAATAATGCTCCAATCTGTCTCAATTAGCAGTCAGAAAAAAAATCTAGTCATAAATCTATCTGTAAAGTTGATCTATGCACATATATACAAAGTAGGGAAAGGAATGGACAGGAAATAAGGGCAAACAGAATGATTCTACAATGAATGACAAAAGAACAAGAAGACAAAAGGAAACACCACCAATGGGTTTCTTTCATGGACCTGCCTGGGCATGTAGCCAATGAGGGCTACATCCTTTCTACTTTGCAAACACCCTTAGTGTGTCCAAGGAGCTGTGGAAAAGCTGACATCAAAAACCTGACTAGGGTTCAAAATGCTCCCCTTGATACTTTCGGCATTGCATCTAGCAGCAGACAATTGTCTACAGGCACGAGACAAAGGGGTGCCCCAAGGTCAGAGTGATTATTAGTCAATTGCTTTTTGTCTCATTTCATTTTAAGCTAAATATTTAATAATATGGCTATTTGGAGACATAGTATGTTTTATGCTCCATTATTCCTTTAAGACCTACAAAGCAAAAAACAACAACAACAAAAAAGGATTTCTGCATTCCTAGGAATTGCTAACACTGTCGTTAGCTGAAGGGAATGGTCAAGATCACCTAATCAAACACTTTCCAAGTGTAAGTTCTCAAAAGAACCACTTGATAAGACCTTAAAACAAATTCTGGGACTCTAGTTCTGGGCATTCTGATTCAAAAGGTCTGAGGTGTGACCGTGGAATCTGTATTTTTCTAAAGCTTTGACAGATTTTGAAAGGCAGCCAGGTTTGGGAACCACTGGCCATGCAGCTCCTCACTGGCATCATCATTCCCTTGGAATTATTGTTTTCATTATTGTTACTTTCACATCTTTAACAATAATGACAACCATATAGCTATAGTTTTACCTTGTCAACGTGTTTCTGTATCATATATAATTTTATCCTCACAACTATCCTAATGGATAGAGGAGACAGGTGCATTGCTAGTCTCACTTTACAGTTAAGAATATTACTCACAAGAAATACAAAAAAATGTTCTCTGGCCTGAAGCTGGTGGCTCAAACCTGTAACTCTAGCTACATGGGAGGCTGAGATTGGGAGGATTGAGGTTTGAGGCCAGCCTGGGCAAATAGTGTGTGAGACCCCCATCTCCCAAATAACTAGAGCAAAATGGACTGGAGGTATGGCTCAAGCAGTAGGCACCTGCTTTGCAAGCACAAAGCCCTGAGTTCAAACCCCAGTCCCACCAAAAACAAATGTTGTCTGTACACACAATGAAACACTATTTCTCAATTAAAAAAATCACAACATGGATAAACCTTGAAAACCTCATTTTAAGAGAAGAAGCACCAAAGACCACATAGTATATGATTTAACTTGTATGAACTGTCCAAAGTAGGGAAATTTATAGAGACACAAAGTAGATCAATGGTTTCCTATGGATGAGGAGGGTGGGGGTAATGGCACTGACAGATAATTTTACAAGGTTTCTTCTTGAGGAGATTAAATTTATCTAAAATTAGGTTATAGTGACAGTTGCACCACTTAATTTTCTAAAATTCATTGAATTGTAACAAATGGATAAATTTTATTGTATGTGAATTATACCTTAATAAATTTGCTTTAAAAAATGCAAAAGGAAAATTGTGGGGGGTTTTCTTGAGACAGGATCTCACTACATAGGCCATGCTGACCTGAAACTCACAATCCTGTCTTAGAATTCCTCAGAATGCTGGGATTATAGGCATGTGCCACCACATCATGATAAGGACAAACATATGATCATGTAGCTAACCAGCTAGAAACCAGAGCAACTCAAATAGTAATAGCTACTATGGAGTGCTGCTATGTACCAAGAAGAATAGTAAATACTTCATATCCATTGTCTTATTTAGTTCTCAAAGCAGTTATTCCCATTTTACAGGTGAAAAACTGAGGCTCAGGACTTTCGATGCTTTCCCCTAGTTCACACAGGCCAACAGCTGGCAGATCTTGAATTTGAAACAAATCTGATTCCAAAGACTTCTTTGTCCATTATCTACTGCCTGTAAAGAGAACTCAATACTCCTGATTCTTTGCCCAGGAATTTTCCAAGCTTTTTCAATTTGAAGCCTAATAGGAAGCAATATGTACATAAATATATATATATATATATATATATATATATTTCAACCAACCCAATTCTACAGATAAACAAATAAAGGAACTTCTATCATTCTTTACTAGGAATAGTTTTAAAGGACTACTTATCCCAATACCCTTTCCCACTTGGCCCTGTAGCCATAGAAAAATTGGTGTTTACTTAGTAACACTATCCCAGAGATACCCTTGAATTTCCTTGGCTGAATAGGCAGCACTCAGCACTGGAAAGGCACTGACATCCATTGTGTCTTGTGTTTGTAGATGATATTGAAAAAGTGCAACTGAGCCCTATTCACATCCTATATTGCTTGAGAATTCACCAGAAAGTACCACTGTATCCAGTAGTGGTAGATGAAAGGAGTCTAATCTAGCAGGACTCAAGTAAAAAGAAAGCTGTTGGCTTTTAAAAAATTACATTTATTACCTACCTGTATCAAATTGACATTATTACCAACTCTCTCTGAACACACACACACAAGACATCCAGGGAGAAAAACAATCAATACGTAAAACATGGATTTAGCAGGAAAATCTGTGCGTAATACCTCTCTTATAACAGATACAATATTCTAATCTTTCCTCCAAATACAATGTACTTGGTTCAGAATTATACCTTAGGATCTACTATGGCCTTTAGAAGTTCACAGTTAGTGGAAATGACATATTAGTTGATTCAGGGTGCTTTGTTTGTAGAATCTATTACAGAGAAATCCCTCAAATTTTACTCAGATATGGATTTCACAGCGACAAAAGACACACACCCTATTGATTACTTTGTTGGACAGCTCCCTCAACATAGCTTCAAGCCCTTCCAGTTTGCCCTGACTTGGCTTTATTTTAAGATGTGCACTAAAATGGCCAGTTCTTTGATGGTCAGGAAAAGCTTAGGATTAACCTCTACCTGTCGTTCTGCATCTGATCAAATCATCAAGCCTCCTCAGCATTGCTTTTCAAGGTCAGCTAGTAGAAAACTCTCAGACTTGAACCTTGAGACCATAAGAAATAACCATATGGACACTTTCTCTTCTAAGTTATTGGTTCCAATCGCTTTGCCTGACTTCTTGGGAAACAGCGGCTACATGAGAAAAATAGGGTTTTGTACAAGGGAAGCCCTCATGCTCCTTTGTCTAACAACACAAGAAACCTAGAAGCAGTGAAAGCATAGGCCGGGTAATGCCACCAAGTCATTAAATGTGCTGTTTCTCTTTCCTTGTCGACTGTTTCATAATTTAATTTCCCTAGAGACCTGCCTGCTCTAAACTCACCTTTGCTGAGGGAATAAAGGGAGTGGGGAGGGAAGGCTGAATAATGGGGGAGGGGTTTGAAGAGAAACATTTTCATTATGTTCCTGAGGCCATCCTGAAAAGCACAGTATTGGGTCCAACTGATCACAGTTTTTATACCCACCAATTTAAAAGTAGGGATTGCATCTTCAATACAATTTATTTGACAATGTAGAATATTAACATGACCCAGGATCTATTTTGTAAATGAGCACATAGAAGACTTTATGGCTGAGTAAGTTTTGGTAAGAACTGGGATTTTCCCCATTATCAGCTGGGTACACAGGTTTTCAGAATTTTCAGCAGTTTAGTAATAAAATTCAGTTGCAATATGAAAATCTAGAGAGGATTTAAAAGGATTTAGGTGCAGGGAGTCATTCCTTTATTAAAATGCCAGGCATACCTACAGCTTTCTTTGGTATTTCTCCCAATGATCTCAGCCTCAGGGACACACCCTCAAGTGGGCTTTTTAGAAGCAACAGCTGAGCAGTGACCACTTACCTAAAAGTATAATCTTCTGTGAATATGTCCAGGAAGTCCTGCTTTTAGGGTGCATATTTCCAATGAGTTGCAATTCATAAATAGTTTCTCAGTAGTTCAAAGGAAATTTAGGATAATATTTTCATTATTAACCCAACCAAAATCCTTCCATGTTACACCCTTAATGATTTCATGGTCTGCCTCTATAGTGCTACTCAGAGTTAATTATGAACAAGATCTAGAGTGAACATCATAATTCAGATTTTCCTTTGTATACCCTGGCAAACAAGCATAATGCATTATCACCACTATGTACACTTCAACCCCAGCAGGGACTGAAGCCCATGAAGAGTGATGAATAATGGCTGTTGCTGGCTATAGAGTCCAAAGTCTGAGCATCAATTAACCTGATGTTCGACAAATACAATGAAATCCACAACTGTAACCATAACCAAGGATGCCGTTTCCCACTAAGAGCCACCACCCACTACTTGAATTACCTTCCTCTAGTTCATCCATGCTTCCGATCTTCCTGGATCCATCAATGGTGTAAATGTAGCGCACTCCCTGAGGCAGGTTGATGTTGTCAGACAGAGATCGAGTCAGGTCAGCCAGCAAAGCGTCGAAGCTGCGAAAACGGTCAGAGGACACAGCGTACACAATCCCCTTGAAGTAGCGGTCCCCATTGCGGTAGAAACGTACCTTCTTGGCTTTCTTCTCGTTGCTTAATGCCTGCAATGTTCGGGTTCTGTAGAAGCTACAGTGGGCACTGTGAGTAGGGCTAGGCAGCCCATTCATCCGCGAGCCTCGCATGTTCCTGGATGTCTTATCTCTTTCGTCAAAGTGTCCAAAATCAAGTTCCATATTTTGGTGGAACCTCAGAAACCTGAGGGTTAGAGAGAGGGGTGGGAGTAAGGAGAGGCAAAGAAAAAGAGGAGAAAAAATGAATTCAAATATTAGCCAGATCCAGATCTGCAATCTGCTGCCTGTGAAAAGAACTGGTAGAAAGAAAGCCTGTGACCCATCTGCTGCTTGCCCCCGACCCACAGGAATATTGATCTTAATAGAGAAGGAGGAGGGGCTGCATGGGGGGAGGGGCGAGGGTGTTGGGTGTAAGAAATAGAAAGGGAGGCACTTTTGGCACTGTTCCAACAGAGAAGAGGGAGAGATTTTGAAAGAGCTTAAAATCCTGGAACTTACTGACACCAGCTCCTATCAAATTGTAACTTCAGGCTAAATACATTAAAACTAGCATCTGTTTCCTCACACATGCCCACATGACTAACAGTTGTAAATGAATCCATAGCCTGACAAAAATTCCCCTTAAAGAGAAAGAAGGAGCTAGCCAAGGTTACCATCTCCAGCTCAGGAAACAGTCAGTGCCTCTCAGTACAATGACCAGGAACAAGGGTGTTTAGTTTTATTCCAAATCTTTTTTCCTACTCTAATGTGTGCGACCCCTCCCCCAGAATAAACCAGGGTTCTCTTTTAAAGGGACAGCCTCCAGGGAATAGCCAGTGTCTTTGTGCTATTCATCAGACCCTCTACCCAACAAGCTGGTGCTGCTATCCAACAGTCATAAGAAATGTGCTGAAGACAAGGATTAGAAATAGCAGATATTTAACAAATTATTAGCTCTGCTTTCTTTGTGGTACCATTTGGTAACAAAATCCTTTTTTTCTCAGGTGCTTCATCCCTCCCTACCAATGCAGCAACACCTCTTAATGAAATAATTTAATTGTTGAAAGATTCCCAAGTGAATCCCTGAGCAGCATATGGGACCTTTAGAAGCAAGTACACCTTTTATTGTTCTGGGTTTCTACCCTGACTGAAGGAGCATTTTGCCCTCACAGCAGGCAATACATCCTAAACTTGTCTACTGCCCAGGTGCATTAGCTGAGGTGAAAGATGGGCATCTGTCAGGCTTTGATTTTTCCCCCTTTTGCTAACCCTACCTGCAAACAATGAAAACATGCAACCAAATAAAACCAAAGCCCCAACACAAGCAAAGGTAGTGACATCCTAGGAACCAAACTATTAACATTCATCTCACAGACGGGGATAAAAGGAATCACAAAGCAAGCAGGGCTCAGCTGCTACACACACCACATCAAGGTTTGCAAGGGACCAGGAGGACAGAAGATAAAAGGCGACTGGTGGCTAGTGGATTTGCCAGTCTCAGTCTTCCTTTTCTCCAATGTCACTATGACCTATGCTAGCTCAGCATTGTCTCTGTCAGACAACCTGCAGTAGTAAGACCCCACCTCCACAAGACAAGTAGCAAGCATTTTCCCCAGGCGTGCTAATATGTTTCCCTTCACTTTAGAATCAGAGGTGGAATTATTCCAAATTAACATCATAGTGAAATCAAAGGAAAATTAAACTCACTTTTCCAAAGGAAAATCCCGGGTGGAAGCTTAGGGGAAAATCCGATACAATGAAGCATAAAAGGAGAAGAGGAGAGAGAGAAAGAGACACAGACAAGCAGAGAGAGCTTTGCCTTGTGCTTTTCCCATTTGACATCTGTTACATTCTGCTTAAAAATCACTGGAAAGCCCCACTCACCGGTTTTCTGCTGGTTGGGTGGAGATGCTGAGAGAAAGAAAACCAATCTCCCTATGCCTTTGTTGTCTGAGCTCCAAGCAAGAAATTCCTGCCAGGGTGGATAGATGCCTTCTAGGTCCTAGTGCCTTGTCCAGCTTCTCCCCTGTAACTCAGGCTTAGTAGCCCACCCCCCCCCACCTCCTATGATTAATTACATGTTTTTTTTCAATTCACAGCCTGCATTAACAGCTAGAAAGGTTTCATTTATAACCAACAGGAAATTGCAGGGTAGCAAAAAGATTGCACAGGCAAATTCAGAATGCTCTAATGAGCAATGTGCTAGTCCTTTCTTTTAGAAAATTGGCAATTTTACTTGCCCAAAACCTTGGCCTAATAGCCTAGCCTCAGACAGTCAAATCAGATGTCTTAGAAAATGTAGCTCTCTTCCTTTTTCTTTTTCTTTTTTTTTTTTTTTTTTGATTTTTGAGAAAGGATCTCACTATCTCGATTTGTAGCCAGACTGTCCTTGAACTTGCAATCCTCCTTCCTGCCATAGCCTCCCAAGCAGTGGGAGGGCACTCATGCACCACACCCATCTTCCTTTATGCTCTTGAGAGAGCAAGAGCATAAAACCTGCAACATTTTTAAGTTCATGGATCCAACTCTGGTTATTTTTTAAATGAAGTCACTAGCATAGACTAAGGGAAAAGAAAAGGACAAGAGAAAGTAGTTCCAGAATTTCATGGAAGATAGAGTTGAAAAGAGCCCCCCCCCAAATACCTTTTAAGTTCATTTAAGAATTTGATTAGTAACATGGGTGACATTTACCTTTGAGTGTTGGAGAGTTCAAAGACAACCCTGAGATCTTTCTGTAGGAAGTGAATCGGATGGCTTCAAGATAAAGATTAACAGATTTCTTCCCAAACTATTTATATATCATTTGCTGGTTTCTTTATATCAAGTGTTTATAAAGAACAAGGAAGCACTCAAAATACACTCATTAGATCAGACCAAACTACAATACAGAAGAGAAAGATGAGAGACAACATGGGGAGTGGAGTTACATCTTCACAATTAAGGCTTTATGTATTAATATGTAGCAGTCTTAAATTATTATGGTTCCATTTTTGTTTGACTTCCAAGAAGCTTAGTGCTAATACCATGCCTCCTAGTGGGATAAAAAATGACTGCCTTTCTTCTGTGGAAAATGTTGACTCAATAAAACCTAAGCTGTCCATGCTGGTTGGGTAGACAGCCTCAAGTGTGCAACCTGCCCTGTTAAAGTCCTCCCCAACAGCTCTCGGCTGCTCTCCTACTTTCCATGTAAGTTCCTGAGGGACAGTCCCGTTTTCTTTTTACATATATTATTGCCTTGTACTGTGATTAACTCTTGGAAAATCAGGATTATTCAGGTCAGGGGCAAAGAAATATCAAGAATTAAGAACAGGAAAATATGAATTCCAGCAAGGCTAATGTCTTAAGACTTCTTTCTTGCACATATTAAGCATTCAGTAAATATGCAGCAACTGATTTTGCATCAGAACTAAATATCACCTTATTTCTAAGGGGAGAGCACACAAGGGAGGTATGGGGATAGGTAAGAAACCCAAAACATGATAGTATTTGATGTCCTCACTCCAGAGGAGCTAATACAGAAACCTTAAAGCAACAGAGGTCAATATGAGAAGGGGATCAGGAACTAGAGAAAAGGTCAGTAAGGGAGGTCAGTTAGAGATGAATCAACTTGGGATGTAACACATTTGTACATGAAAGCAATGCTAGGAATCTCTCTGTATAGCTATCCTTATCTCAACTAACAAAAATGGTTTGTCTTTATTATTGTTGCTTATACTTTCTCTTCAACAAAATTAGAGATAAGGGCAGAACAGCTTCTGCCTGGAAGCGAGGGGGGTGGGGTGAGAGGGAGGGGATGGGAGGGAAGGGGGGGAGAAATGGCCCAAACAATGTATGCACATATGAATAAATGAATAAAAGAAAATCACCTTATTTCTGATGAAATAAGAATGAGTAGGATGACAGAACTTAAACATAAAGAATTTGGAATTGATTTTAGAGGAAATTTCCTCATAATATAGGCTTTACAGCACTACCATGTATGCCACAAATGTCTTTTGGAGTTAGCCTAGGGCAATTCACTTTGTTTACTTTATAATTGCAAAGCAGTAGAGGGATGGCCAAGACCAATATTTTCCAGAGTGAGGTACTTGGATGTTAGCAGGTGTTATTTTAAAACAGGAAAAAGATACTGTGTTCAAAGATGTTTAAAAATTGATGGGTTAAATAAGGTCAGTTTTCTTTATCATAAAATTTATCAGGAACTTTAACACACTTAATATGTCTCCAATAATACAATTTAGTATAAAGGACCTCCCTCACTCTTATTTTTTAAAGCTCAGACCCTTTATTTTCGCACAGACCATGTCATAGAACAATGTTTTGTGGGAAAGAAAAGATTTTGCAAAAACTGGTGTAGATCATCTCACAAAGATACTTCTTCTCAAAGAGTTCTTAACTGCTCACCAAAGCCCATTTCTTCACTCTTCAGAGGAAAAGGGCCAGTGGCAGAAAAGAAAGGCTCAAATATAAGTTCGGGGAGGGAAGTACCTTTTTAAATATGGAAGTCAATTTGAAGATCAAGGGAGAGTCATGGTTGAAGGTTCAATGGAGTAAAGAGAGTGAATGAAAACAATAGTAACCTCATTCTGTGAAACATAGCAGTAAGAACTTTTGGGTGGTTATCATGTGCCCAATACTATAGGCAAGATGCAGAGTAGGAGACACCCACTAATGGACCTGGGGGGCTTGAAGATTCATTGATGAAGTAGAATAGTAGTGTGCCCCACTCAAAAAACATGAAGGAGAACGTCTTACATCTTTCTTGATATTCTGCAGTCAAGGCTAATCAAACTCACCTTAATGAACAAGATCAGCAAAGGCCATCACACACACACACAATTGCTAGTTTATGTTACATATCTGAAGTACAGAAAGTAGGATCTGGTGTGGGATAGAGTGAGCAAGGAGGAAGTGAGTTTTGAATTATATAAAGACAATTTTTAGGTAGATGAAAAAACCCAACAAATATGTGTAAGACCATTATTGGGAAAAATCATAAAACTATTGGAGAACATAACAAAAGCTGTGAATAAACATAGAGCTAAGTTATCCTCAAAATAGTCTATAAATGTCTTCAAAATAATCTATAAATCTATAAATATGAGGAAATTCCAAGAAAAGCTCCAAATGGAATTTTGTGAATTAAAATGTTAAAATTTTATAGAAGAATATAAAGCTTGAAGAATAACAAAGATCATGATAAAAATGAAAATTTAGATGCCAAGATTTACTGCACCATGGTTTATTATAAAGATAGAGTAATAAAAGTAGTGTTGTGTTTACCTGGAAGACAAAGATCAATGGAATAAAACATATCAGCATCCATGGGATCTTGCTATAGAATGGTATAATGGTAAGAATAGGGATCCTGGAGTCAGACTGCCTGGGTTCAAATTCTGACTACTAATTATTAGATGGTGACCTTGCATGAGTTAGTTAACCTCTCTGTGCCTCAGTTGAACCATCTGTAACACAGCAGTGAGGATTGAATGGGCAAGCTGGTTAGTGGGGGACACCTGTAAACCCAGCACTGCCCAGGAAGCTGAGGCAAGAGGATCATGAATTTGAGGACGGTCTAAACTACATAGTGATAGGTAAGACACCTAAAAAATAAGTTAGCACTTGTTGCCCTCAACACAGAGAAACTAAAGCAGATACCTTAAAAGCAACTGAGGCCAATAGGAGATGGGGACCAGGAACTAGAGAAAAGTTTAGATCAAGAAGAATTAATCTAGAAGGTAACACACATGCACAGGAAATTAATGTGAGTCAACTCCCTGTATAGCTATCCTTATATCAACCAGCAAAAACACTTGTTCCTTCCTATTATTGCTTATACTCTCTCTACAACAAAATTAGAAATAAGGACAAAATAGTTTCTGCTGGGTATTGAGGGGGTAGGGGGAGATGGAGGGGGCGGAGTGGGTGGTAAGGGAGGGGGTGGGGGCAGGGGGGAGAAATGACCCAAGCCTTGTATGCACATATGAATAATAAAAGAAAAAAAAAACCACAGGAACATCACAAAAAGAAAACAAAATTTAAAAAAAGTATCATTAACACATATTAACAATGATGTTAATATTAACTTTTACTACCCCATGAATATTCATGTGCAATTCCCTCACTTCTTTCAAGTTTTCAAAGGTCAACTTCTGAGAAAGACCAACCCAAATTATTCTATTTAAAGATATTCATTCCCTCCCAACCAAGCACTCCAAATTTCCTTGACCCTGCTTTACTTTTCCATAACACTTATTGTCTCCCAGCATACTGTATAATATGCATACTTATTATGCTCACTATATATCTCCAAAAGTAGAATATAAGCTCCACAAAGGCAGTAATATTTGAACAGCAGTAATGAAATATTATTCAAAACACAAAAAGGAATATTTTTCTCTGTTTGTAATACTGTATTATAAGTGCCAAGGATGATGTATCTAACAATTTAAAAAACTGAGGACATGTCTCAAGTGGTAGAGCACCTACCAAGTGCAAGTCCTTAAGTTCAAACCCTACTGCATATTGCATATTTGTTGAATTGTATAGTATAGGGAAGGTTTGAGGTATTCAATAGATACTTCATAAACCAGTGAGACAACTTTCACATGGAAAAAGTTAGATTCTCACCTCAAATCATACTGAAAAATAAACTTTGGATATTTTAAGGAGTTGAAGAGAAAGAATAGAACTTTAAATGCTTAGAATAAAATATAAAATTGTGTTTAATTTCCTGTGGTAAAAAGATTTTTTTAGATACAATGGAAAATACTCATAAATTTGATATGAAAATTCAAAGCTTCTGAAAGCAAAACAGCATTAAAATATAAGTAATAGACTTGAAAAGGTATTTGAAATGTATATAACTGACAAAGGACTTGTGTCTGTATATACATATACATGTATTTGACATATATAGATGTATAAAGATATTTGTGACGTTATATATATTTAATATATGATATGTGGTATCAATATGAAAAACGTAAACTCTAATAGAAATAATAAGTAGAGGGAATGTTCAGGCTG